TCTGTGGAAACATGCTAACTTTTGTTTTCTTATCAAGAGCTGAGAATAAGCGTTCTTCGTAAGTGATATATCTCCTACTCTAAAATGTTTAATCGAGACAATGTCTGCCCTGTCGTGGTTGTCATAACGTTTCGAGCAGTGAGTGACGGAAAGTTTAAGTGAAATTTGAAAAATGCCGTCGTTGATTGAATTGGTGCTGCAAGGGGGTCGACCAAACGCGTCGTGGTGGGCGAAGGACCTGGCGATGGGGCTATTGCGGGTTTTGCTGAATCTGGTGTGTTTCCAAAGAGTAAGTAATATTTGTTTTATATTAATTATTTATAATATATTAATTATTTATAATAAATATTATAATTCGATTTAATTTAATTTATAGTATCAATATACGAGCGAGATCCAGATCCCTGGATTTGTCAATATTAAACGCCGGCAACTTGTACGAGCGCTGCGTCGGCACGAGCGCGAGTTCCTCGAGGACGTATGGGAGGATAATGGCCCGGACGGTCTTCATTTAGACCTAAGACGTCTCTTCGGGCTCGAACCCTATGAGGAACCCTATGTGATGGAAGAATCGTGGGACGAGCCTCCGAGCAAGAGGTCAAAGAATTAATTGTAAGTATCTTTTTTTAGAGAGAGAGAAAGAGAGACCAGAGGAAAAAAGAAGGAGGAAGAATATGATATTAGGTAATAATATTTATGATATTAGGCAGTTATATTGGTTTATTTTGTGACGTATATGATTATGTGTATATATCATTAAAAATGTTTAAATGAAAAAGAATAAATAGCGCGCGCGAAGCGCGCGCTTTGAAGTGTACTGGTAATGGATATGGATGGCGCGCGCGTAGCGCGCGCTGCGTGCTAGTCCTATCTAAAAAGAGGCATGTAAAGTCGATACTCGAAAGTCTCGAAGTGTATTGTTGTCGCTTTTCCGCGATGCTGATTGGTTCTGTCATTGCGCTTACTTCGTGAGCGGCTGTCATTGCATATTTTGACAATTATTATTTTGTGTATATATCGTTAAAAATGTTTAATGAAAAAGAATAAATAGCGCGCGCGAAGCGCGCGTTGTGTTGTGCTAGTAATTTATAATTTGGATGTCTGTCACTTCAGTTCTTACTTTGAGAGAGGTTCCTACTTGCATTTTATCGGTTTAAAAATAATTTTAATGAATTAATGAGATTTTTTCAATGAAAATGACATCAAACACGTGCATACACTAATGAGCACCGATGCAAATTAAAAGCTATTATAGACAAATTTATATAAGCATAATTAATTATTATATTTTTCTATAGTTTTAACCGTGTTCTATCGTTTTTTAAAAGGTCTCAAAAAGCTTTTTTTTTAATAGTTTCTTTTTCTGAATGATGGTTTTCGTTTCCAACTGCTTTTTGTAGAGAGGGAATTATTTGCGCATGAAATACAAAGACATTATTTGTTTAATTCGGTTAGATATAACGAAAGTGACAATTAATCATTCCAGAAAAAAAATTTTGAAAAAACAAAATAAATATCAAGCGACGCGGTAGCGTCGCGACGCCAAGTATATATAAAAATTCGTTCCAGCTTGTCAACGGTTTGCCTATGTACAGGGGCTGCGACGCTACCAAGTAACTTATCCGAAATTTTAGGTCTAGTAAACATTCGATTAAGATATTTTAATAACTAAAGCCGTAATAAAAAAATCTAACGGCACTTTTATTATATAATGTGAATATAAGCTTTCGATTGCGACCGGTTCGAATAAGATTGGTGCATTCAATCCCGAGAAATGATGATCGTATATCAGAATTGTGACATTTTTCGTTCTTCATAATTATCATCATAAGTTTCAGACTTTCACGTACGTATGCTCGCACGCACACACGCAAATATTTGTCCCTCAAGGCGCGTTTGCAGCGCTCATGTACAATTATTCGCTTGAGTGTGCAAATACGCCTTGAGAGACAATGTGTATGTGCGTGCATACGTAACATATATGATACGTATCAAGCGATACGGTACGCGGTAGCATCGCAACGTCATAATTAAGATTAAAAGTTAAAGGTTATATTTGAACAAGTAAGTAGATTGAAATTTTATATACAGGGTGTCCTAGACCACCCGTACACCCCTTTTCTTTCAAAAATTAAGCATTTTAGAGAGAAACGTTTTGAACAAAAATTGTATTTTTGCAGGATAAAGCGAAATTTTAATCCTTTCGAGAAAACCGGTATACTTTTATAGCTGGGATTTCTTCAGCTGGAATTGCATACGGTCTTATACCGTATGCAAGATTCAATTAACGAATGCCAATTCTACATAAATAAAACTGTATTATCAACAATAATATATGTTCAAAAATAATATATATGTGCTTATATTATATTATTTCACAATAATACAGTTTTAATAATATGGTTTTATTTATGTAGAATTGGCATCGTTAATTTTATTGAATCCTACAGGGTGACCAATAGGATTGTATCAAAAATAAACGGTTATATTTCTTTTCCTCGATTTCGGCGGTCATTTAACTGACTAGGTTCCGGTAGTAGAGGCCTGTCAATTTCATTTGAGCCACTGTTCAAGCTGATATGCGAGTATCAGAATGAACGCGCTAAGCATCGAAGAGAAGATCTTTCTTATCGAGTGCTTCTATAGTAGAGGCAAAAACTATGCTGAAACATATCGTGGATTCCGCAGTAAATATGGATCTAAAAAAGTTTCGAGCCAAACTATACTCAAAAGGTGTGTTTCCTCTCTGAAATCACGCCATAACCTAATCTATCCTACACATTATGTTGGTGATCTAAGATTTTATTCATTTTTCGATATTTTTTCGCAGGATTATTCATAATTTTATTATTCATGGCACTTTGAATGATCGTAGACATGATTTGCAATTTTTTAAAGGGACCGTTAACGGTGAAAGTTACAAAGAATTGTTGGACACTAAATTCTTTCCTCATGCAAAAAAACGAGGATTAGTAGACATTTTATTTTATGCAAGATGGCGCGACTCGACACCGTACTCGCGATGTGTTCGAATCAATAAATAAAGTGTATGGCAGCAGGGTGATTGGATTAGGATATCCGAAATTTGCTCATGGAGGTCTGGAATGGCCTTCTTATTCACCTGATTTGAACCCGTGCAATTTTTTCCTCTGGGGATACCTTAAAGACAAATGTTATGCTGTACAGTCTCAAAACACCAAAGAACTGATAGATAGCATTCAAAAATGCACTCGCAGAATTTCTAAAGCCATGTTGAACAACGTATTTGAAAGTTTCCGAAAACGGATAAAATTCTGTGCCGATTCCGATGGAGCACATTTTGATAATATATATCATTAACTCATGCGCGCAAGCTAATTTTTGTCACTATTTTAATAATGTGTTTTTAAATTATTAAAATATTATATATTTGTTTTATACCTATGGTAATAAAATTTGACAAGTCTCCTCTACAAGATAGTGTTTCGTTCATTTTGCTCGGCCTACTCGTTGCACAGTAATAACCATTTAGTTTTGACACAATCCTATTGGTCACCCGTTAATTGTCAGATGTAAAACGTCCTTATCGTAAGATTGGACATCAGTCAATAACATAACCTTAAAATATACCAATAAAATATTAGTGATTTTTTATCAGGATAATAAATTCTTTTGTGTGCGAAAATGTCGAGTTTTGAGCCGAATAAGCGTCATTTGCGGGAACTTTTGATTTACTTCTTCTTGATTTACTTCAGCTGAAGAAATCTGCAGCTGAGGCGTATCAATTGCTTGTAGAAGCATATGGTGAGGCTGCCTTAAGTGAGAGAAGTTGTCGTGAGTGGTTTCAAAAGTTTAAGAACGGTGAATTTGACATCGAAGACAAAGAACGTAGCGGAAGGCCGAAAGTGTATGAAGACACGGAATTGGAAGCATTATTGGATCAAGATTCGTCCCAAACGCAAGAAGAACTTGCACTTACATTGGGAGTGACTCAAAAAGCAATTTCACATCGGTTGAAATCATTGGGATTGATTCAAAAAAGGAAATTGGGTTCCATATGAACTGACGCCGAGAAACGTTAAACGCCGATTGTTCACATGTGAAATGCTGCTTGCCAGGCATAAACGAAAGGGTTTTCTGCACCGTATAGTCACTGGTGATGAAAAATAGATCCATTATGATAATCCAAAAAGGAAGAAATCATGGGGACCACCTGGCCATGCTTCAACATCTACAGCTAAGCCAAATATTCATGGAAAAAAACTTTTTAGAGGAAAATCATTTTTTAGTTTTTTATTTTGTATGAAAATTATTTTTCAAAAAAAAATTTTTTTAGGAGTTATTTTTTAGGGATAAATATTAAACTTTTTTTGCATACAAGTTGGGATTTTTTTATATATCATACTTGGCGTATTTTTTTACCTTTGTGAAGTTTTTTATATTGATTAACCGGAATAATCGATTAAATGATTAACCGATTTAAAGATTAATCGAATAATGGTAATCACTCTAACCAATTACCGGTTAACCGATTTTAACCAGTAAATTCGTTTATAATCGGTTAAACGCTTAATCGAATTAATCGGTTTTCACGAGCCCTAATAGGTATACTATTAGGATTTCGTAAAATGTCATACGAAAAATAGCGATATCTCTTGCAATATTGGTTTCAGCGTAAAAAGGTTAAGGATTTCTTTTATATCCCGTGGGGTGCTACGCAAAACATTAAATAAGAGGCCAGAATCGCGAAAAAATTTACCTCTCTCGAGACTTGAATATATCTTTATACAACATATGAAAAATTGTCATTTCCGAAACGCGGAGATTTATTCAATTATGAATACTTTACAAATTTAAATAATCGCAGACTAGTAAGAGCGAAACACGGATGGTAATGCGTCAGTTTCATAGAAAAAAAAGTTTTCTTTGAAAACTGATTATGTGCATAGGGCACGAAAATTTACTTGATTTTATACCAAGTGTAAATTAATCTCAATTCAAGATTTATAATAACCCCTCTTTTCTCACCTTCCTGGAGAGACGAAGAGGAGAAAAATATCGGGGCAAAGTTGCTGAATCATGTTATTATAAATCTCGAATTGAGATTAATTTACACTTGGTAGAAAATTGAGTAAAATTTTGTGTCCCGTGCACATAATCATAGAAAACTTATTTTTCTATGAAACTGATGCATTACTATTCGTGTCTGGCTCTTACTAGCCTGCGATTATTTAAATTTGTGAATTTCACTTGAAAGCTTTAATAATTTCTTAAAATTTGATAAATACTTCATTTTTCTATGATTTTAACAGTACTTTTTCGAAATTGAAGAAGTTTTGATCATTAACAGTATTAATTAATTTTTTCACGTTTATATAATTTCTCTGTGATACTGTCCAATGCATCCTCTTCTTCAAGTCCTTGTGTTTTTATGGATTATCAAATTGTGTTGTCTCAAGATCGTAGAGGCCTGTTGCGCTTCCTTCTTCCTGCGGTGTCAATCGAAATATCTTCTGCGGTTATCTATCCTCAGGCATTCTTAAAAGATATTCAAACCACTGAAGCCTCCCTTTCTTTATTCTCTCGATTATCTCTTTTGCTACTATCTTATTCAAAAATTTTGACATAATA